CTCTGAGTAAATATGTTATCTTTATTGCAAAATATATGACATTTATATTCAAAATATTCCTGGTATTACAAGGAATCCAGCAATGTGAACTATATTATCTAACTTTAGTCTGAGGTATTATTTATTACTATACTTAAAATCTAGTGGTTTTCCCCAAACATTTTTCAGAGAGGGCCGAGGTGTGAGAAGAGGGAGGAGTTGAGTCCATTATTTGAATGGACATTAACTTGGCGACTGTATTTCTCTATTTCTCTTAAGTATTAATTGTGCATGTACCATCATAAAATTAAGATGTTTTTTACTAGAACATAGGTATTGTGTCGGAAAAAGTGGAGTTTGAGGGTCAGCGGTCTCTATTTCATTTAATCCATATGTTATGTTGTTCACTTCTGCGTTCTCCTTTAAGGGCCTCCGTGGGTTCAATTGGACCGCGTAAAGTGAGGTTCACTCTTTTTTGAGTCGGCGTTAGTGATTGCACTGTGTACTGACAAAATTTTTTTATATCCCTTTAAAATATTGTGGCGTAAAGTAGAGAGTTCTCGTGGTGCGAGATGAAAAAGACACTACCATTTTACTATAATATTTCGCCTTTTAGACTTACAACCCCGTCTTAAATTCGAGGAAGTATACATCATATGAGGAGTTTTTTTTCTAGTTTTATTTTGTTTTAACCTTTATTAAACTATATTTTTTTATACATATATAACATCAATTAGTGAATGTATTATAAGTCCTGGTGGTGTAATTTATTGTAGCATACAGCTATTTTAAATAATTATATATAAATATTATTATTTTTGGGTGTTTCTGATGACTATTCTCGTAAGTTTCATTGGATTTTTTACCTTTCAAACATACTATTAGACTATTAAAATGAAGTGTATGGGTCAGTTAGAAAATAATGGTAAATATGTAATCAGGATGACATATTGACAATTCAATATGGCGGTGATACATGTCTCCGTAAATGGCAACACTGGTTTCAGATTGTTTATGTTGTAGGTTTCCAAAATGTTTGAATCTGCTAATCTCCAAAAATTCAAGACTAATTAAATTTTGATCTAGTGAACCCACAATAATATATTTGTATCTCACTTTAACAAAACAGGATACAAAATACAGCCTTAGATGCTGTGGGTTGACCAAAAGATATGTGAATGGTTGTGTGCAGTAAGCCATGTCACAAACTTCTATGCAGTAAGTTACAATAGGTACCCATTTTTCGATAATAGCTGAATTCTCTTGAATAGCAATTTTGGGGAAGCATCGGCGCATCAATGATAGCATTTGTTTGCCGCCTTGTTGAACGTAGTTGTAAGCTCCGCCTCACACTCACTCTCCCGCATCAGTGGAATACAGCGCTGGGCCCCGCGTGTGAGATTATGCGCCTCTATAACCAGTGGTTGTTAGGGGTCGGTGATCAATAATGGCATCCGCATTTTTACCTGTGGGGGCTGAGGGAGGTGGTGGAGGTGATTTGCCACCTGGTGGAAACTTTAAAGTGGGGAAACTGAACTGTCCTAGTCTACAGGTAAAAATATTAAGAAGGCTAGTGGAGAGCAAGAAGAGTATTGTGCTGGCTAAAAATATTTCGGTAGTGATGGAAATCAAACGAGCTGTGAATGATAAAGCGATGAAACAGGTTGTTGGTGATAACAGAGCATTTTCTTGTGAAATGGTTGGCTTGTAGAATGAAAGACAGTGCAAGTGTTACGTGACCCTCGAATCTGGAACAATCATCACCAGCACCACCAAAACTAAGTGTTATATTACTCAAACTCTTTATTTTGATGATTGAATAACAATTCTTTTTATTTCATCTAACAAAAAGTGTTAGGAGGCTTGGAAAAATGGGTGAAATTCTTGTGGCGGTGGCACCAATAAACCCTTTTACATGTATTTTAATGTCACACAAATAACGTTTTAAGCTAATAACGGTGTTTTTCAGGCACCTATTAAACGTTATTGGTGAGAGCCTACTGTATGCATCAGCAGCTGTTTATGAGTCACGAGAAGTGAGAAGCAGAGGATTCACAAATAACTATTGTCTCATTAGTATTACTGTGTTTGCAAAGCTTTTGAAATTAATATTAGTTAAATTAAAAACCCAGATTAATGTAAGGGCCGTCAGAGGTTGCTTGTTGATATACAATATACCGTACCTAACTCTCTACCACCTGGTCACCTCACTATGGTGGTACAGTGTTAACAGAGGTACTGGTCACCTCACTATGGTGGTACAGTGTTAACAAGTACTGGTCACCTCACTATGGTGGTACAGTGTTAACAGAGGTACTGGTCACCTCACTATGGTAGTACAGTGTTAACAGAGTACTGGTCACCTCACTTAATTGGTACAGTGTTAACAGAGGTATTGGTACCTCACTATGGTAGTACAGTGTTAACAGAGGTACTGGTCACCTCACTATGGTAGTACAGTGTTAACAGAGGTATTGGTCACCTCCTATGGTAGTACAGTGTTAACAGAGGTACTGGTCACCTCACTATGGTGGTACAGTGTTAACAGAGGTACTGGTCACCTCACTATGGTGGTACAGTGTTAACAGAGGTATTGGTCACCTCACTATGGTAGTACAGTGTTAACAAATTGCTGGTCACTATATGGTGGTACAGTGTTAACAGAGGTATTGGTCACCTCACTATGGTGGTACAGTGTTAACAGAGGTATTGGTCACCTCACTATGGTGGTACAGTGTTAACAGAGTGTGGTCACCTCACTATGGTAGTACAGTGTTACAGAGGTACTGAGTCACCTCCTATGGTAGTACAGTGTTAACAGAGGTGATGCCTCACTATGGTGGTACAGTGTTAACAGAGTACTGGTCACCTCACTATAGTAGTACAGTGTTAACAGAGTTTGGTACCTCACTATGGTGGTACAGTGTTAACAGAGGTACTGGTCACCTCACTATGGTAAGTACAGTGTTAACAGAAGTGCTGGTCACCTCACTATGGTGGTACAGTGTTAACAAGTATTGGTCACCTCACTATGGTAGTACAGTGTTAACAGAGGTACTGGTCACCTCACTATGGTAGTACAGTGTTAACAGAGGTATTGGTCACCTCACTATGGTGGTACAGTGTTAACAGAACTAGTCCTCACTATGGTAGTACAGTGTTAACAGAGGTACTGGTCACCTCACTATGGTGGTACAGTGGCTAACAGAGGTATTGGTCACCTCACTATGGTAGTACAGTGTTAACAGAGGTACTGGTCACCTCACTATGGTAGTCGAGTGTTAACAGAGTGGGTCACCTCACTATGGTGGTACAGTGTTAACAGAGGTACTGGTCACCTCACTATGGTAGTACAGTGTTAACAGAGGTATTGGTCACCTCCCACTATGGTAGTACAGTGTTAACAGAGGTACTGGTCCTCACTATGGTGGTACAGTGTTAACAGAGTATTGGTCACCTCACTATGGTAGTACAGTGTTAACAGGGTACTGGTCACCTCACTATGGTAGTACAGTGTTAACAGAGGTTTGGTCACTCACTATGGTAGTACAGTGTTAACAGAGGTACTGGTCACCTCACTATGGTGGTACAGTGTTAACAGAGGTACTGGTCACCTCACTATGGTGGTACAGTGTTAACAGAGGTATTGGTCACCTCACTATGTTAGTACAGTGTTAACAGAGGACTGGTCACCTCACTATTGGTACAGTGTTAACAGAGGTATTAATCACTCACTATGGTAGTACAGTGTTAACAGAGTACTGGTCACTCACTATGGTAGTACAGTGTTAACAAGATATTTGGTACCTCACTATGGTAGTACAGTGTTAACAGAGTACTGGTCACCTCTATGGTAGTACAGTGCAGAGGTACTGGTCACCTCACTATGGTAGTACAGTGTTAACAGAAGGTGCTGGTCACCTCACTATGGTGGTACAGTGTTAACAGAGGTACTGGTCACCTCACTATGGTGGTACAGTGTTAACAGAGGTACTGGTCACCTCACTATGGTGGTACAGTGTTAACAGAGGTACTGGTCACCTCACTATGGTGGTACAGTGTTAACAGAGGTACTGGTCACCTCACTATGGTGGTACAGTGTTAACAGAGGTACTGGTCACCTCACTATGGTGGTACAGTGTTAACAGAGGTACTGGTCACCTCACTATGGTGGTACAGTGTTAACAGAGGTACTGGTCACCTCACTATGGTAGTACAGTGTTAACAGAGGTATTGGTCACCTCACTATGGTGGTACAGTGTTAACAGAGGTACTGGTCACCTCACTATGTTCATGACAGTAATATCTCCTTTAGCCGGAATCCCTCAAACCCGGAACTCTTCAATAGCCAGAATTGAAATTTTCTCGGAAAATCGTTCCCAAAGCCGTAAATTTACGGAAAACTCCGGCTTTGGGAACGATTTTCCGAGGGGCACATTTTCTGGAAAATTCCAAGAAAATTTTCTCGATACCCTGAAATTTCCGGGATGGGGGAGTTTTTTCCGAGTTTGCGAGATGAAAATGAGGCACATTTTCTAGAAATTATGAGAAATATTTACCGTCACTCGGAAAAATTACGGGTATGAGGGATTTTTTCCGGCTTTGAGAGAGTCGTCTCGTTACCCGGAAATCTCTCATTCCCAGAAGTGCTCTGTACCAATTGTTCCGGCTAACGGAGATATCACCGCACTGTACATTGATCTATATGAGAATACTTCACTTGTTCTCCTGTTTCTTGGAGTTCTACACAGCCCTGACAGCCCCCATGGCTGATTGAGGTAGTGCAAACATCAGTCTTCGTGTACAGTATCGTAAAGAAGGTGGTTGTTGTGACGAAGCTGGAGAAAGGCGTCTCAGTGAGAAAGCTAACCGAGGAGAATGAGGCGGGCAGGTATGTACTATTTAAAGAACCAGAAGGAGCAAAGTCTTCGCTGAGTGATCGCCCACGAGGTTATGGACGGCTTAGCCTTTAAAGGTGATGGTTAAAAAGTACTGGATAAGGTTACTTCACCACTACTCACCTCTCTGTCATACACACATTCAATGCCAAGCCCAGCAGAAATAATGGTGAAGGTAAGACCAATCATCATAGGTGCTGTAAATGTTGTGGCATCAAATTTTAGTGCCCCTCTGACGGCTGGTAGAGACTGAGACGATGTATTGATCATATCCTTCTCACCAAACGATCTGAAATAAAGATAAAAATAATTAATAGATAGATATTGTATGATATGGACACGAAGTAGTACCTTAAGCTGTGTATTATTATATTACTCTTATATTACTCTATTAATTTTGTATAGTAAGTATTGCAGAACATGTATTAATTCTATGTAATATTTCCGTTTATTGTGCACCATATAATGTATATAAATTATCATATTTATACTTTATGTATTCAGCTTGTGAATGCTGGCATCTGTACATCCCAGGGCGCAGTAATACATAGAGAGAGTGAAGACAGCCAGTCCTTGTGGTGCGGACGCGAGCTTCTTGGTCCCCTTGTATATATCTCCCGTACGAGAATAGAACCTACTTTTAAGATAACAAGTGTTTGTGTATACCCTCAGTAGTATAGAACATTTTGGAGGTATCAAGACGAACGTCAGAGATATATAGACAGACAGACAGACAGACAGACAGACAGACAGACAGACAGACAGACAGACAGACAGTCAGTCAAAGACAGACAGACAGATAGATAGACAGAGACAGATAGATTGTGACAATATTAATTTGAAAAGAATTGAAACAAGTACTGTACTGACAATACAGTATTTCCTTATTTAACGTTGCCCCCAGTAGCGTTGATTCGTTATAACGTCGCTACTCTCTAGATACCAATACTGTACGTAATTCGGTTAACGTCCCGACGACTCAAGATAACGTAATTTTTAGCGCCGTCATGGACTACTTTGTAAGGCGCATCACCCTCTCTCATCTTGGCATGCTACCTCTCACTCACGGAACGACACAGCGTCCCCAAGCGTTGTCAGTCTTTGTCAGGCTACCACAGTGTTCATGCGTGTTGAAGTGTTTTTGCTCTAAAACTGTACTCTAACCATTCGAAATGGCTTCCAAGCACCCATCAAGTGGTACTGATGCTAGTGTAGTGAAGAGGCAACGTAAGACCATTAGCTTTGCCTCAAAAATGGAGGTTTTAAACCATATTGAAAAAGGGGAACGTGGGGCGGACATAGCTGGTGCTCTAGGTCTAACCCCCACAACAGTGGGTATTGTCCGGTAACATGGACAAGATTAAGGTTAGTGCTGGAAGTGGTAGTTCTCTGAGTGCAACAAAGACAAGTCGCACTCAAAGTACCGTGATTGAAAATGTGGAAAAGATGCTGGCAATGGAGGACGAGAATCAATGCAATGCCCCTGTGAGCCTTATGGTTATCCAGCATAAGGCCAGATCCTTGTTTGACGACTTAAAGGCAGAAGAGGGTGAAGGATCGAAGGAAGAGACCTTTATGGCCAGCCGAGGATGGGGCAGCAGAGGGTGAAGGATCGAAGGAAGAGACCTTTATGGCCAGCCAAGGATGGGGCAGCAGAGGGTGAAGGATCGAAGGAAGAGACCTTTATGGCCAGCCGAGGATGGGGCAGCAGAGGGTGAAGGATCGAAGGAAGAGACCTTTATGGCCAGCCGAGGATGGGGCAGCAGAGGGTGAAGGATCGAAGGAAGAGACCTTTATGGCCAGCCAAGGATGGGGCAGCAGAGGGTGAAGGATCGAAGGAAGAGACCTTTATGGCCAGCCAAGGATGGTTTCAATTATTTAAGCGTCGGTATAACTTCCACAACATAAAGATGACTGGTGAAGCTGCCAGTTCAGATACGGTTGCTGCCGAGACATTCCCGCCAGAAGTCAAAAACATCACCGAAGCAAGTCTTCAATGTGGATGAGACTGGTCTGTTTTGGAGGAGGATGCCTGAGAGGACCTATATCTCCAAGGAGGAGAAAAGAGCGCCAGGTTATAAAGCGGCAAAAGACCGCTTGACGCTGTTGTTTGGCACAGAAGCTGCCGGCGAATTCATACACTTGCAATACACCACAGCTGCACCAGGGAGGTATACAACACCCTGTGATCATACAGCTGCAGTACACCACAGCTGCATCAGGGAGGTACACAACACCCTGTGATAATACAGCTGTAGTACACCACAGCTGCAGTACACCACAGCTGCAGTACACCACAGTGTCTTGTAATATAACTTCCCAAAATAACATATTCTCTCAAAGAGTAAATCTTTTGTCAAGTATTATATAATATTGAGGGTGGTGTGTGAGTTGTGGTGTGTGAGTTGTGGTGTGTGAGTTGTGGTGTGTGAGTTGTGGTGTGTGAGTTGTGGTGTGTGAGTTGTGGTGTGTGAGTTGTGGTGTGTGAGTTGTGGTGTGTGAGTTGTGGTGTGTGAGTTGTGGTGTGAGGGTTGTGGTGTGTGAGTTGTGGTGTGTGAGTTGTGGTGTGTGAGTTGTGGTGTGTGGGTTGTGGTTGTGTGAGTTGTGTGGTGTGTGAGGTTGTGGTGTGAGAGTTGTAGTTGTTGTGGTGTGAGAGTTGTGGTGTGTGAGTTGTGGTGTGTGAGTTGTGGTGTAAGAGTTGTGGTGAATAATAACATTTAGTCCGGACAACCATTACTAACTCAGTCTAAAATAGTCTATATTTAAAAGTTCTTTGTATAACACAGTACTGTACTAGACCAACACTAGTAGTATAACACAGTACTGTACCCCAGACCAACACTAGTAGTATAACACAGTACTGTACCCCAGACCAACACTAGTAGTATAACACAGTACTGTACCCCAGACCAACACTTATAGTATAACACAGTACTGTACCCCAGACCAACACTAGTAGTATAACACACACTGAACAAACACTGATCCGACCCTTAGTAGTATAGCATATGTGCTACCCAGACCAACACTAGTAGTATAACACAGTACTGCTCTGACCAACACTAGTAGTATAACACAATTGTACCCAGACAACACTAGTAGTATAAAATAGTACTGAACCAACACTATAGTATAACACAGTACTGTACCGACCAACACTATAAGTATAACACAGTACTTACTAGACCAACACTAGTAGTATAACACAGTACTGTACCCCAGACCAACACTAGTAATAATACAACACAATGTAAGACCAACACTAATGAAGTATAACGTTATAGCCACCAGACCCTTACTAGTAGTATAACACAGTGCCTTTAGACACTGTAGTAAACTATACCCCAGACCAACACTAGTGGTACACAATTATACCCAATAACACTATGTATCAATACTACATAACACTAGTACTACTGTAACACAGTAACTACAAATAATACTCATAACACAGTACTGCCCCAGACCAACACTAGTAGTATAACTCAGTACCAACCCAGACCAACACTAGTAGTATAACACAGTACTGTACCCCAGACCAACACTAGTAGCATAACACATTTCTGCCCCCAGACCAACACTAGTAGTATAACACAGTACCTTTGAACAACACGTAGTATAACACAGTACTGACCCCAGACTGAACAATAATAACACAATTACCATACGACCAACACTAGTAGTATAACACAGTACTGTACCCCAGACCAACAAGTAGTATAACGTACTGTACCCAGACCAACACTAGTAGTATAACGCAGTACCCCCAGACCAACATAGTAGTCTATACACGAAACAGTAGTATAACTCCAACCTACTGAATAGCTAGTATAACACAGTACTATTACTGACCAACACTAGTAATGCCTACAGTACTGTACCCAGACCAACACTAGTAGTATAACACAGTACTGCACCCAGACCAACACTAGTAGTAAAAACACAGTACTGTACCCCCCAGAACTAGCACTGGCAGCACTAGTTTGCTGAACAGCAACGTAGTACAACACAGTACAAACCCCAGACCAACACTAGTAAAAACACAGTACTGTAATAACACTAGTAAGTATAACACAGTACTGTACTCAGACCAACACTAGTAGTATAAGACAGTACTGTACCCCAGACCAACACCAATAGCACAACACAGTACACCCCAGACCAACACTAGTAGTATAACACAGTACTATTGAACCCCAACAGTAGTAGTATAACATTACCTTTAGACCAACACTAGTAGTATAACACAGTTCTACACAGACCAACACAAGTAGTATAACACAGTGCACATACCCCAGACCAACAGTAGTAGTATAACACAATTACTGTACCCCAGACCAACACTAGTAGTATAACACAGTACTATACCCCAGACCAACACTAGTAGCCCATCAAGAATGTTTATGAACTCACCTAATATGGCATTACTGATGAGGTTGATGACTATCGGAATGGAATCAGCGTATGTGTCGTTGAAGAGCACCTCCAAGTTTACTTGTTTCTGGTTCTGAAATAAAGTTGACATAAAACTAGTACAGTAAACATTATACTGGTATAAGTTACTGACAACGGCCAAAACCATATTCACCTTTCCATAAAAAACTGGTTGGGCTCTGTTGATTCAAACATGCAAATAATTATCTCACACCAACTGGGGCCCTCACACTAGTTTGGCAGCCAGAGGGTGAACCTGGTAGTGTTAGCACTATGTTTCTTTCATGTTTTTAATGTCTCGGTGTTCTGAATCAAAATCAGTTGATGCCCAGCAATGGCATCAATACGATAATTGTCTAATTGATACCAATACATCAATACTGTACTATAGATGATTAAGCATATCCATACATCAATACACAATACATCAATACTACTTTACACATAGATGATTAAAATGATATCCATACTTTAGTATTAGAAAAAATAAATTCCATATATGTAATTTGTAATTTTGGTATTGATTATAATACAAACAATGAACACAACAGAAAAGTGTAACTGATGATCTCCAAAAGCATGTGACCTACCTTCCAAGATATAATATTAATGAACCTAGTAAATTAATAATTATTGCCTTTCAAGAGAGACCAGTTCACCAAACACCTTATGTGATAGTCTACTTCTCTTTGAAGAGTGAATGTAGTCCACACGAATAAGAGGGTGTTGTATGTCATAAAACTTTCACAATTCCCGGTACTGAAGTAGTGAGGACAACGCATTGGTTGGAGTCCCGGTTTTTAACACCTCCACTCAGATGAGCCTTCATCTGGAGTGACAGTGGTTGAAGCACATTCATATTCAAAACATCTCAACTTTCATCAGATACATTGTCCTCTGCTCATCATCATGACTTGTGCTGAGTGTGCATGTTGAATGTTCACCCAGATTTTTAACGGCATTCACCAACATTTCTTGAACTCGTTTCATTATGATGCCTGTATTGTATTTCTAGTTATTGTCAACCATCTTAACTTGAGCTAGGGTTTGATACGCTCATTCCCAAATGGCTGATTACTGTCATGAGAATCATCGAGGCTCATAATGTCTTAAGGGTTTAGAGAAGCCTGATGCAACTGGAGAGGAGTTGACAGTGACTTAATAAGTGCTGAATTAAAGTCGCTCCATTTCTCTACCGCGAGGCGTGGGGAGGATGCATGCTGAAGCACTGTTTGTCTGATTACAACCTGTAGACCTAATGCAAGGGTTGCAGTACAGTGACAATCTTCGATGAAGGTTGACAAGCCAAGCGAGACATTGTTTTATTTAGTTAATCCTTGTGCTTTAAAAGAAAAGATAAGCTGTCAAGATGGAGATATCATGGCACATGGTAATCTTAACTGACAGTTCAGTGTTTCCTTGATGATTTTGCAGATTTTGGTCTGCCAGAATAAGTTCAGAGGGCAGAACACTTACTCCTAACACTATGAAGCTTAGAGTGTGATCCTTATCACAGACTTAGCATCAGTGGTGCAGACAAGACTAATGGTATGGCATCTCAGGTGTGTGGGAAGAACTATCTCTTCTGCATAAACAACTTCAATGTGTAAATTGGAAAATACAAAATCATCTTCAGAGTTGTCCTGGTCACAGCCATAGAATTCTCTTAGCTCCTCATCTTTGGTGTATTCTTGTGCTAGAGGGACACTAATTCCATATTCTTTGGCCTTCCAAAGTTCTCTGTTGTCAGTGACAGTATACTTATCTTGCTCTGATCAATCATCCTCTCTACTGTCCCAAGCGTTACTGCCCAAATCTGACATCTGTATCTCCTGTACACAAAAATCAATACAATAAGGTGTAATTTCCACTCATTTCATCCCAAACATTGGATAAGGCTAATGGCTATGACTGGAAAACCCCTCAATTGCAACTGTAAGCTGACAGGGAATCAGTCCTGTCCATGTTGTATTGTAGGAATGCCGACTCTCCACACCAAGAGATCACTACACATATGTGGATAGTTCATGAAACACAAGTCAACTTGCATGATGGATTGACTCATTAATAAGTAATACAGTATAAAATAAAGAATTTTCAGAATTTTTTGGGGATAAACACATAGAGTATAAAAATTCGGAGATTTACCTCTATTTTACTAAAAAAATGAAAAACTGGTATACAGCTGAAAATTTGGGATAAATTGAGACTTTGGGTAGTATCTGGCAGCACTGTGAAGGGACAGGCAAGAATAGTCTGTTCAATTCAGCCCGTCACCCTCAACCTCAACCTCCAGCTGTAGTTTATAGTTTGAGGCGTAACATACAAACACAAATAATAAATAATATGCGTATATGTTTTTACTATATGATATAAATGTAAATATTAGATCTTTCAACTATTATATTAAATATAACATAATTATATTTATGAAAAAAATAAAGTAATGTGCTTTTTTTCAATACCTTTCAGAAAAGGTCCTAGCAATACCTACAGTGATACTTTCATTGAGCAGCGAAGGCAATACCGATTCAAAAGGATCAATTGATACAGGTATCACGATACTGCCCATCTCTGATGATCGATGCATCCTTGAACCAGGTTATTACCCACAGTATGGCACCCATCAAAAGGGTTTCATTTCAGTGTCCTGTGACTGTTCAATTAAAGTTCCCTTTTCAAGATAGAATTTTGTTAGTGTGATTTTCACATTTCAATGTTCATCAAACAATGCCGCTTTAGTTTAGTTCTGTCTCATCTTTACTCTGCCTTCATCATCAGATATCACTTGGTATACAGCTTCTTCTTTGTTGACATGAAGATATTATAAAAAATATTACAGCTAAATTACAGACACTTTGTAGGATAAATAAAAATTACGTCTCGTCTATCTCCAGACGATACTCATCCTCGGGTACAGAGTAAAGAAAGATTTGTTGATCGACAATTAAATGATGACAATAGTTTGTAGAACTTATGGTTTTTTACCAACTACTATGTGCTATTTTTAAAAATCAATTCAAATTAATAAGTCCACATTTTTATTGAAAAATATATGCACTGGACTTAAAAACATATGTTTGGGCACCAAAATCTTCAAGAACAGATGATTTATAGTAAAAAAATGCCAGTTTTCTGCTCTGGCTGTACCATCTTGAATTTCTTAAATTCTAGGATGCCAAAGTGACATCATCTGGATACTGATTCAGGACACTCAGAAGACACCAAAAACATTATGTGGGCGCTACTTCCAGGTTAGGTGAAAAATCAGGGTTTGGCTACTGGACTACTGTACACTGTGTGTAAGTGGCAGAGAACAGGGCCTCCACACACACTCCTCCGTCATGGTGATGAGTAACTAGGCTCTCTTTTAACACACTTTATGGTATTTAAATAACAACTCTGATTGTACTCTATTAATAATAAGATAAAATATATAATTTTCTCCATTATCAAAGTATCTCGGAACTTAATATCTTAAGAAACAAGAACTATTAGCAAATGGGCCGACCAACTCCCCAAATGTGCCTGTTGCTCACGGAGGAGACCGAAACCTTTGACTCAGACAGTACGGCACTGGAATTAGAAACACTTAAATATATCATCAGCAGACAGACAACTTACGCAGTGCCTGTTGAAAAGTTGGCAACATTCAAGGCCGTCATGTGTGCCTCAGGTTGCCTCAGGTCTGAATAGTTGCCTGTGTAGTCATCAACTGCCATATTAACAGACTCAAATGTTGACTCTAAAAATGTCAGATTGTCATCCGAGCCATTATGCAACAGTGCACCAGCAGGTTTAGTTCCATATATTTCTGGAATGAAGAAACATTACTGTATAGACAAACATATATTTAGTTATGTTAGATGTCCTCCTCTGTGTTATTGTACAGGCATTAACCAAGACTGTATGCAAATAACATGGATCACATGCAATGGTGTAATTTCAATGTACCATCTGACAGTATTTGTATGGAATGTCTCCGTGACTCTACCAGGTAACACAGTGACCTGATACAATAATAATGGTTGATGTTAAAAACTGATGGTGTGTGGATGGGTGACTCTTATCTGCTGTATTACTATTCTTGAGGCTCTTCTCCTCTGTTACATTACTACATGTAGGAAGGGCAATAAACAGATGAAAGGTTCTACAAAATACTACATTACCAAGGAAGGGCAATACAAGGGAAAGGTTCTACAAAATACAACATTAACACCAGGTTGTGAATATGGATTAACTTACTTGGAACTAGGGGCAGCAGTTCATCAGTTGGTAACTGTATTTTCTGACCATTAGCCAAGGCTATTGATCCAGCGACAAAGGCAAGTGGCAGAACAACCAGGAAGAAGACGGCTCCTATTTCCCGAGAGACGCCAAGGAAGCAATTACCAGGGCCTTAAATGCTCTCCACGAATCTTGCCTGATGTATGGACAAAGGATCACATTAGTATAACTCTTGTTGGTACATAAAGGACACCAGTTTGATACACTGAACCTTATTAATAATCTCTTTTGTTGATATATTGCATTTATAAGTAGAGTACAGCCCTCGTTTTTTTTTTTTTTTTAAGTGTTTAAAACCAAGTGCCGTGCCAGTGCAAATACTGGAGACACACACTTCCCCAGGACCAAGGAGTAGGACGAGTTTGGCTGACCTCACAACAGGCACCATCTTGCATCCCAGCATTAGAGAGTGGGCATGTTAGAGTGCAGTCAAATTATTTTGCAGCAAATACAGTACTGCATAATAGTGTTCATATTACAGGTTGACATGTGCAATGTATCCTGCAGAGTGCTGGACTGATCACCACTCAATTATGAGTATACTCCGCCTTCTAATCTGCCCAAAAACACATAAACAAAGATCTAATAAGAAATGGTTAAATTGTGCTGTGTTGAAGAACAATAATACACGCAGTGACCTTCGGCCTTGGCTGAGAACCTAACTAGCATAGAGCCCCTCCTGAACCATAATAACTCCTTAGATGAAATATGAGCCTCCTTGAGTACTCTACAAGACAGCAGTCAATACCATTGGCTTCAGAGACGAGAAACACCAAAACTTGCTTGTTGAAAATTGCCGTGGAAATAACCACTCTTTCAGAGAAGATGCACAAGGCGCACATTGCCTCTCACATTAACCCATCATCTGAAGGGCTGAAGAAACAATGGCAAAGCCTTAGAGCAGAGGTACAAAACACTTTAAGGATTCTACAAAGGCACAAGAGATACAATCGTATGCAGATACTAGTGATATGCATAACTTTTATGGTGCAGTGAAGACCATCTATGGCCCAAAGAACTATTCGTGACACCCCTCAAATCTGCTGATGGCACAACTCTTATTGAAAGGACCAAAACACTATCGGGCTCTACTCAACCGACCTAATCAAGGCGACCTCTCAGTATTGGATCAACTTCTTACCTAACCCATGATACAAGGACTTTAGCTCCCACCAACCTTCTCTGAGTTTACCTTGGCTGTCACACCCATGGAGAATAACAAGAACCCTGGCCCTGGAAGGATACAAGCTTAGCCACAATATATATAAACAGGTGGGGGACAAATCGATCTGTGGCATTAGGAGGGGCATTTCGCTACTGGCCGTGGCTGGTAAGGTCTTGGCCAGAGTGATGCTATATACTGGAACGTAACATCTCTAAATGTGAACTCCGAATCCGGGTCAAGAAACGCCAAAAGCCGTGAAGAAGAGGATTGTCCCGGCTCTCACCAATAGTGTTGCCAGAACTCATCATCTCACCCACCTGTCCATCACTCACCCACCACTGTGTCACCAACCATCATCTCACCCACCACTGTTGTCACCCTCAACTCATCATCTCACCCACCACTGTTGTCACCCTCAACTCATCATCTCTCACCCACCACTGTTGTCACCTCAACTATCATCTCTCACCCACCACTGTTGTCACTCCTCAACTCATCATCTCTCACCCACCACTGTTGCCTCCTCAACTCATCATCTCTCACCACCACTGTTGTCACCCTCAACTCATCATCTCTCACCCACCACTGTTGTCACCAACTCATCATTCTCACCCACCACTGTTGTCACCTCAACTCATCATCTCTCACCCACCACTGTTGTCACTCCTCAACTCATCATCTCTCACCCACCACTGTTGTCACTCCTCAACTCATCATCTCTCACCCACCACTGTTGTCACTCCTCAACTCATCATCTCTCACCCACCACTGTTGTCACTCCTCAAGAGGGCTGGTACTGGATCTGTCTTGAGCACTCAGTAAATAATATTGTAATGTATTCATCAGCACTTAATAAATATTATTGTACTACAGTATAATGCTTACTACTTAACACATGAATAAAGGCCAGAAAATACTATATAAATGTGGC